TAGGCAACAAAGCTACAATACAACTGAAAAATAAGCCACGGCTATACGATGTGGTCACTGTTCCTCCACGAAATAGTGACCTCTAACACTACTGACTACACTATAAAAGGCCCAAGTAACCAGCCTTCAATTCTCAAAAGAAAAACAAGATGAAGAATTTATGAAGAACGGGGATTTCCCTTTGTGAAAGAAAAGAGAGAGTGAGTCAACAGTGTGAAATGGAATGAGTCGAGTGTCGTCTGACTCAACTCATCGCATCCAAAAAGTTGGACTCAGCTCGACTCACTAACTCGCTCCTTGGTGGATGAGTCGAGTCGACATGTGGCTCGCCGTTTTTTATTTTTTGTTTTTTTGTCGAAATTTGTGCTTGCGCTTCTCAAAGTATAATGAATACGTAAATTCATAAGGAAAATATGAACTTAAAAAATTATAAATTTGTAAAAATCCTCCTCCTTTGCTTGGGTTTGAGACTGGCTACAATACATAGATGGAGTTAAAGTTATACACGAATGAATATTTCGTTTTTTAAAATAAACAAATAAAATAAGTACAATATATAATGATTAAAAAATTAAACACGCTACAATTTCTACCGTAGCAGTCTGCAATTGCACATATGAAAAGATGTCGAAATGCTACCTTCATCTTTTTGAAGCCATAAGCAAATACAAACATGTTCTTCTATTCAGATTGCAATATAGCCTAGTTTTCTTTTTAACTTTTACATTTTTATTTTTACTATTATTTTATNATTTTTATTTTTACTATTATTTTATAGTATTTATTGAAAAAATAATGTTAACAAGTAATATTTGAAATTAAATAATATAGTAGTTATGTGGTGTAATTTCCACAAAAGTAAACATGTAGATTGGGTCGTTGACAGGCCCACTGAGCTTCCCACTACTCAAATTTGGCCCAGAATCCCAAAACCTAACAGGGGATAAGATTTTCGTAGGTCATGCCTTGTTGACCAGGGTACTGGGTATGAGTAACATTTCACAATCTGAGTTGACAATTATAAACACCTCCAATAAGTAGACACATTGTATAATTATTGCAGTGTTTGAACACGACATAATAAACATGCACTAGCACAAACTTGAGACAAGCCAAGCCCGTTAAGATCGATCACGATCTAAACTAACGCTTTAGAGCTTCAATAGGTTAGGGGCTGTTCTCTTTAGCGTTTTCCGGCAGTTTTCTGTTTTCGATTTTCCAAAACGATGAAAACGCGTTCTCTTTCTCATTTTCGAAAATGAATTTTCGAAAACACAAAAAAAATTTGTGAAGAAAACGCAAAACGACATATTTGCCATTTTGAACGTTTTCAAGCAAAAATTGAAAACTGATGAAAACGCGGAAAACACCCAAATCAAAAAAATGGTTCCTGGAAACAATCATCTTCTCAGCGAAGAAACAACCATCTAGACCTCAGCCACGAAACAACAACATCACCCACTTTCCAGCCACCTAGACCGTCGAATTCCACCACCAACAACCTCGCCGCACTCCCTTCTATCACCTCCAATCATTCATCAGCCATGAAACAACAAGAATCGATAGAAATTGGAAGCCAAAAAACCATTCCCGCACGACCTGTTTCCGTCGGAAACATCACATCCGGCGACGCCCAAGGTAGTGTGACACCACTGGTCGAATGCTTATCCCCAGATGACTCCAACCATGTCCCCAATCCACCCCAAACAACTCTTCAATGGTCAGATTTAATGTAGGAATATATTACGGTAGCAAAGTCCATTCAATAGGTTTCGAATTTTGCAAAATTCGGCGTCGTCGAGTCGTCCCGTGATCTCGGACCACATGGATTAGCCTCCCCTCCACCCGATGAACCTTGCCCATGGGTCAAGTCCAATTTGAGATGGTGGTTGTGGATGATTTGAGGTTGTGGCGCCGATTGTAGCAGTGATTGGGTTTGAATTAGGGGTTTCTTTAGCCAGCGGGAAGGGTGTAGGTGAAGGTGGTAATTGTAGTTAGTGATTTGAGGTGAAGGTGGTGAAGTTGGTGATTGTGGTTGTAGGCGAAGGCGGTGATTTCAAGCCAGGCTTCGTTGAGAGAGACAAGATAGAAATGGGAGGGGAAGAGAACGTATTTTGGGGTTTTTTAATTTTGAAAACCATTTTTCAAAATAAAGAAAAGATCACATTTTCAACAAACACAAAATGGACACTCAAAACACAAAATACAAAATGATTTCAAAACACAAAACACAAAACTGAAACACAAAGAGAATACCCCCTAAACTATTTTTCATAGTTTTAACTTTCAATTAGACAAGTCATACTTAATAGATTTATAAGAACTTCATATATACTTTCGAAGTTTCAAACAATACGATAAATTCTCAAAATTATCGATAAGACTGTAGATTAAATCTTATCTAAATCTTTTTCGAATTATTCTACTTGTACAAAAAAAGTTGACAATTTTTTTGACAAAACGCCACATGGCGGCTCCCTATTGGGGGGGGGGCTGCGGCGGCCCCCCCTCTGCAGGCGCCCCCCAATAGGGAGCCTCCATGTGGTGTTTTGTAAAGAAAGTTGTCAAATTATTTTGTACAAGTAGCATGGTTGATCTTTTTCGGATAAAATCATTTAAAAACTTGAAACTAAAGTCAAATAAAAGCCTGTTAAAAAAATAAAAAATTAATAAATAAAGTCAAATAAATTTTTTTTTTTAAAAAGGGAAAAAAATAAGAAAAAAATATAATAAAGCTAAGCGTGTCTAGGTGCACATTAAGCAGTTAATTCGCGCTTTGTCTGTGCTTCGTGTTTAGTCGATGCCTTTTAGAACAATGGTAATCACATAACAAGCCACTGATTCACAACTAGAACTGACAGTTTAAGAAAATGAAACACTATACCAACTATTTGAAAGAATTTTTCTTGCTTTGGCTTTAATAGAAAAGAGAAACCAAGAAAAACGAACACAGAAAAAATGTGAAAAATATTAAAGAAAGAGAAGAAAAGTATAGTTACTAATCACAGGTCTTCTGCACCAGTCGTGTGCTGCCTAAAACTTGCAATGTACCTTTAAAAGGGATCTTACTTACTTTTTAGCTGTTTGGGTCTAGGGTGATCACGGCTTTGCCAATCTCCTGTTGTTTTATTTTACTTTTGGTTAGGTTGCGCTTAAAATAAGCTAAAAAAACCCTTTAAATGTCAGGGCTATGAAACAAACCAGCTGAACAAGCTGAGGTAGGTAAAAGAAATGAAAGAAAGTGCAAGAGTAAGGAACAAATGACTCGGGCAATATTTAAAAAGGTGTAATTCAGGTATAGAGGCCTTTTTCCAATAGTACGCCTCACCATAAACTAAAAAAAATGTCAAAAATTATTAAAATTTAAAATAAGCTCATAAAAAATCTTAATATAACATTTAAAAGTGTGCAAACACAAAAAATTCAATAAAGTAACCAAAAAAAAAAACTATTATTTTAGTCGGCGTGTATTTCCAAAGTGTTTCTATGAGAAACACAATTTAAAAAGCTTTAGTGGACAGTAGGTTATTCCAAAATGAGCCAATCAAATTTTTTATGTTGTGTGACGACCATTATATCAAAATTCATTTTTTTCTCAAACTCATTTTTAATCACATTCTCACAATAAAATATTTGGCACGAAATCAAAAACATTTTCTTAGTTTTTAACCACACATTCTCCAAATATTTACTATTTCAAAACTCATTTTCATTGAATAATGGTAGACAAATAGGGGCTACGTTGATAAAATTAAGTACCGCACGCCTCACAAACCTCGAGGCATGTGCCTCACACAACTGAGGCGCATGCCTCCAAGAACTGTCTCACAATTGCGCCTTGGTATTTTTTGCTTGCCTCCCTCTTAAGGGGTTCTCAATTCCTCAATTGGGTTTTTTAAACCATGGCCAAGAGGCATAAGCATGAAGCCTCCCTGCGGTGTGTGCCTCAGTATTTTAATGTGTTAAGCATTGACAAAATGCACTAAAATTGTAAGCTTTCAGGCTTCTTAATGCCCGCTTTAATGAGTACACCTCTTGTACTTTTGAAAACTCTAATACATAATAGTAACTTGGATATGTGTATTCAAAATATTATAGCTGATCGAGTTAAGTAAGAAGGAGCAGCGCCAATGATGTGATTAGATCTTGTTCATGGCAGTATGAGGAAAAAGTTAACATTTGATCTGTGTAAAATCGTATATTGAAAGTTGATTTAGCTAATGAAAAGGCTGATTAACACTAGGAGGCTTACTGCAGGATTTTATTCTTTATCTTCTAAATGTTTATTAATGTACTAAGCACTAAACTCAAGTAAGCTTCATCGTAAATTTATGGGGTAACTTATCCCATTGCTTAAATTTAGCCCCATCATGGGCTATCTGAATTTTGAGGACTTAAGAGGCACGCTCCTGATCAATTTGCAAGTCTTGTATTGCATTTCATCTGCAATCTATAGTTTCAGAAAGCTAATGCCAGGAAACTAACCAACAGAACTTGTTATCAAGGTAGTGTAGGGAAGATAAAGTGAGCAAACCTCTTGAAGCGGGGGTATGGGAAAAGAGGCAGTTATATAGAAGCATCATGAACGAGCTTTGTTGTGGTATATGAGCATGCATGAAATCAAAATCGGAATTTCTGACTGCCAAGAGGTGGTAATTGACAATCAAACCACGTGTTCATTCTGAGTGTGTGAAAACCTACAGACCAAGATAGACCATTTTGAGATTCTACACCCTTGTTCTTAGGAGGCCATTTAAGAATTTGTGGCCTTCATTCTTACGACTCTAATACCATTTGGCATGAAAATAGTGTGACGTATATATCTGACTCTGTTGATTGGTGTCACCCCCTCTTATTTCCTTCCTTTTTTTCCTTGCACTACTAATTCTTTTGGTGATATAGTTATCCATTCTTCATTTCTGCCAATTCTATCTTACAGTTCTCATATGCATTACCAGCCTGTTTAACTGTGTATGTGTAATGCTTGTGCCTTTTTTCAGGCTTTTGATGAAGCCATCTCTGAGCTAGATACATTGGGCGAGGAATCATACAAGGACAGCACTTTGATCATGCAACTTCTCCGAGACAATCTGACACTTTGGACTTCTGATGCAGCGGTATCTCCCTCCCCCCATACTGGAACTCCATGCTTCTCATTTTTCTTTTTCAACTTTAATGTGATGCCCTGATTATCAATTAGGCGTAAGCTAGAGCATTTTAACACGACGCTTTTATTGCTTCTCATCTAACTCTCAATGTTCAG